AGGTGGGAGCATTGCTTTAGTTCAGGAGTTCAAGACTAGCCTGGGGCAACATAGGGAGACCCCATCTCTAAAAAATGATTTTTAAAAATTACCTAAGAAGGCCGACCACGGTGGCTCACACCTGTAATCCCAGCACTTTGGGAGGCCAAGGTGGGTGGATCACCTGAGGTCAGGGGTTTGAGACCAGCCTGGCCAACATGGTGAAACCCTGACTCTACTAAAAATAAAAAAATTAGCTGGGCCTGGTCGTGTGCACCTGTAATCCCAGCTCTTTGGGAGGCTGAGGCAGGAGAATCTCTTGAACCCAGGAGGCTGAGGTTGCAGTGAGCCAAGATCGCACCACTGCACTCCAGCCTGGGTAACAGAGTAAGACTCTGTGTCAAAAAAAAAAAAATTACCTGAGCGTGGTGGTGCCTGTCTGTGGTCCCAGCTACTTGGGAGGCTAAGGCAGGAGGATTACCTGAGCCTGGGAGGTTGAGACTTCAATGTGCTGTGAACATGCCATTGCACTCTAGCCAGGGCAACAGAGCAAGACCTCGTCTCAAAAAAATAAAGGAGATTGGTTCCTGCAAGTCCCGGTACCCCCTCCTGATTACTTGTACCCCATTAATTTTAGGAGCTTCTGGAGGAGGTGAAGAAGGAATTGCAGAAAGTGAAAGAGGAAATCATTGAAGGTGAGGTGGTTTTGTTTTGTTTTGTTCTTAAATATTTACTTACTTCGGAGGCATCATGTCCCTAGACAAGAGCCCTGTTTTGGAAGGGAAGAGGCAGAGACTCTGCCCCTGACCTCTGCTCTGTTTCCTTCCAGCCTTTGTCCAGGAGCTGAGGAAGAGGGGTTCTCCCTGACCACAGGGACCCAGAAGATCCGCTTCTCCTTTCTGCACACCCTGCCTGTCACCCTGCTTTCCCTGCCTCTACTTGACTTGGAATTGGCTGAAGACTACACAGGAATGCATTGTTCCCACTCCCCATCCCACTTGGAAACCTCCAAGGGGGTGTGGCTTCCCTGGTGCCCTGCCCACACCCACATTGGCTGCTGATTGGCTGGGGAGGCCCCCGCCCTTTTCTCCTTTTGGTCCTTCCCCTCTGCCATCCCCTTGGGGCCGGTCCCTCTGCTAGGGATGCACCAATGAACCCCACAGGAAGGGGGAAGGAAGGAGGGAATTTCACATTCCCTTGTTCTAGATTCACTTTAACGCTTAATGCCTTCAAAGTTTTGTTTTTTTAAGAAAAAAAATATATATATATATTTGGGTTTTGGGGGAAAAGGGAAATTTTTTTTTTCCTCCTTGGTTTTGATAAAATGGGGTGTGGGAGTTTTTAAATGCTATAGCCCCAGCCTTGCCCCATTTGGGGCAGCTATTTAAGGGGAGGGGATGTCTCACCAGGCTGGGGGTGCCTCCCCCCCACCCCAGGGACTCCTCTTCCCTCTGGCTCCTCCCCCTTTTCTATGAGGAATTAAGATGCTGTAACTTTTTGGAACCTCAGTTTTTTGATTTTTTATTTGGGTAGGTTTTGGGGTCCAGGCCATTTTTTTACCCCTTGGAGAAAATAAGATGAGGGACAAAAGAAAAGGGGAGGAAACTTCTCCCCTCCCACCTTCACCTTTAGCTTCTTGAAAATGGGCCCCTGCGGAATAAATCTGCCAGTTTTTATAAATGCTAAGATCTCGAGTGATTTGAAGGGCTGTTCTGATGGGGATGGAGATGTGCTCGGCCCCTGGTGCCCCTCCAGGAAGATTTGGCCCTCTGCTGAGAACCCCTGCCTCTGCCAAGAAACCCACCTTCCCTCATCTGCCTTCCCGCCCTGCACATTGCATCTGCTCCCGCATCCTCAGGCCCGCAGCCAGGATGATCTCTGCCCCCTCCAACCTCCCTCCCCATGCCCCTTATGAGGCCACTTCCTGCCCATCCCACCCTGCCGTTCACCATGGGGGGAGGACAGAAGCAGCCTCACTTTGTGTGGCCTTGGGGAAGTCCATTTGCTTACCCCAGGCCTCAGTTTCCCAATTTGGGAAAGGGCTTATAGGACAATTTTCTGCCCCCACTTTACCACTCTCCCAGCTGCTTTCCTTCCTTCCTTATTTGAGACAGTCTCTCATGCAGGTTGGAGTGCAGTGGCGTGATGTCGGCTCACTGCAACCTCCGCCTCCCTGGTTCAAGCGATTCTCCCGCCTCAGCCTCCTGAGTAGCTGGGACTACAGGCACCTGACACTATGCACAGCTAATTTTTGTATTTTTGGTAGAGATGGAGTTTCACCGTATTGGCTACGCTGGTCTCTAACTCCTGACCTTATGATCCGCTTGCCTTGGCCTTCCAAAGTGCTGTGATTACAGGCATGAGTCACCGCGCCAGGCATTTTTTTTTTTTTTNCGGGCATGGTGGCTCACGCCTGTAATCCAAGCACTTTGGAGGCCAAGGTGGGCGGATCACCTGGGGTCAGGAGTTCAAGACCAGCCTGACCAACATGGTGAAACCCATCTTTAAAAAAAAAAAAATATATATATATATATATACACTTTTCAAAAGATTTTAACCACATCTGTGATTAGAAATACAAACGATTAGATAACTTCAACCCATGTTAACAGCATTGTGTACTAAGGGACCACTTTAGTCAAGCCCAGCAAAGTTATAGGCATGAGCCACCACACCTGGCTGGAGTTTTGCTCGTTTCCCAGGCTGGAATGCAGTTGTGCCATCTCTGCTCACTGCAACCTCCGCCTCCCAGGTTCAAGCGATTCTCCTGCCTCAGCCTCCCCAGTAGCTGGGATTATAGGTGCCCACCACAGCTCCTGGCTAATTTTTTGTATTTTTAGTGGAGAAGGGGTTTCACCATGTTGGGCAGGCTGTTTTTGAACTCGTGATCTCAGGTGATCCGCCGACCTCGGCCTCCCAGAGTGCTGGAATTGCAGGCATGAGCCACCAGGCTTAGCCCCACACCTTTATGAAAGCTGGTTTGCTCATGAAGTTCTACATCACACTGGAACCTAACTTAGGCATTGACTCTTCTGTCATTGCACACTAAGATCCCCCTGAAGTTTCTGTGTTAAAGAGGTTAAAGAGTATGTGTACCTTTTATTTATTTATTTATTTTGAGACAGTTTCTCTCTTTTTGCCCAGTCTGAAGTGCAGTGGTGCTATCTCAGCTCACTGCAACCTCTACCTCCCAGGTACAAGCAATTCTTCTGCCTCAGCTTCCCAAGCAGCTGGAATTGGCCGCCCACCACTGTGCCTAGCCAATTTTGTATTTTTAATGTATATGGGGTTTCACCATGTTGGCCAGGCTGGTCAGGTGATTCGCCTACCTTGGCTTCCCAAAGTGCTAGGATTAACAGGCATGAGTCACTGTGCTAGGCTAGGGAGGCTTTTTAAGTCAGGTGTATTTTGTGTTACTGTTCTACACTCAGGCCTTCTGGAAACTCTGCAGAGGATAGCTCTAGCGGCCAGCTGTCTTGTTGAAAATAATAACATATGTACAGGAAAAACCCAACAAGTAGGATTTGAAAGTGGGGCTAATTTTACACTTTTTTCTTTCTGGGTAGAAAAGGCATAACTTTGTTAAAAGCAAAATGTTTTTATTTCTGACAGTGATTCGTTTCAGTTAAATAGCTTGTAGTTTGTTTCTTTCATTTTTCTTTCTCAGGTTTTGGGTTTGGTTTGTTTCCTGTAAGCTTTGCCCCTGCCTCCTTACTCCTTGTGCCTGCAGAGTCATTGGCTGGTTTGGCAGCCACCAGGCCCATCCCAACCTTTTTCTTGGCACACCTTCTCTAGGATGGCCAGGACAGTGACTTGGGTTCCACATCTGTGACTAACCATTTTCATTCTGTTCTACAGCTTTGACAATTATTCTGCCAATGTTATGGTAGATGGAAAACCGGTGAATCTGGGCTTATGGGATACAGCTGGACAAGAAGATTATGACAGATTACGCCCCCTATCCTATCCGCAAACAGTAAGGATTGCAGTTGATTTTTAATGTCTTTTAGAGTATACAATTCTTGAGCGTTTAATTAGTGCATGTTACCTATGGGCTTGCTTATATTGCCATCATTTGGGTATTGAGTAATAGCAAACAGTAAAATTGGTTCAGTATAAACATCCCCCTAGATGCAAACCAGGGTTCTTGTGTTTTGAGAATTACCAGATGTTCCATTGCTGCTCATTTTATAGTCTTCCATTTAGTTTTAGAATAACCATACGAAAGAGGTACTTTTTGTTTTGTTTTGCTTTTGCAAACCAGTTTTTAACAGCAATTAGTTTGAAGACAGTTTGCTGTGACAGTTTCGTACCACAGAATCAAATTAAGCAAAGATTTAGGTTTCTTTAATCCAAGTTAGTAACTTTTACAGGTTTAATATGTTTTTTTTCCCATAAAATACATAGTTTGTGTGGGCATTGAACCTAAATCTATTCCGTGTAAATAGAGGTTTTGGTTTTGTAAAATGTATCCACTGTATCCAATCAGAAAAAAAAGTTTGGTTTTACATCTGTATCAGACAACTAAGTGATTTATTTACTAAAGCTAATTAGAGCAATTGCTGGTGAAAATAGTGGGTATTTAGTTAAAGAAGCAGTTGTCTTACTTGTGTATCATTTGCTTATCTTGTTACATTTTGTTCTTCTTCTTCATTTATTTATTTATATTTTTTTTTTTTATGATTTGGGGTCTTGGTCTGTCACCCAGGCTGGCGTGGAGGGGCAGGATCACAACTCACTGCAGCCTTGAACTCCTGAGCTCAAGGCATCCTCCTCCCTCAGCCTCCCAGGTAGGTAGAACTGCAGGCGCTTGCCACAACGCCCAGCTAACATTTTTCTTTTTTACAGAGATGCGGTCTTGCTATGTTGACCAGGCTGGTCTCCAGCTCCTGGCCGCAAGCAGTCCTCCTGCTTTGGCCTCCCAATGTGCTGGGATTACAGGTGTGAGCCACTGTGTCCAGCCTTCTTTCCTAATTTCAGTGACATTTTGCAGATGCACATCATGGCTCTCAGACACATTCTTAAGATCTTTACCCCGGAGTTCCTTTAATTATAAAACACTGACAGTATTTAAAAAGTAGCATTCTGAGTCACAGAGCTCATCCACGCCCCCTTCAGTTTTTGGGTGGGTAGGTCATATGCCCTGGTGAAATACCCCGTTTGGATGGAGGGACCTCAGGGCTGAGGGACAGGTAGTCCCCTGGAAGAGGCCTTCACGTGAAGGAGGGTGGAGGGGGACTGGGGCCAGTCCAAAGGCAGGAAGGAAGGGCAAACCCTGAGAACTCTGAGGGGCCAATTGGAGGGAAGATGGGCGACCTGACTATGACTTAGGTAAAGGGACAGGTCAGTCCCTAGCAGAGGCAACTGAAGAAGACAGCGAGGGAGGGCTGGGTAAAAGGACAGTAGCGGGTCTGGAACTGGGGAATGGTGATCAAGTGACTGAGACTGAAAGGCAGAATGAATTAGCCCTACTCAGGACCGGTGTTTCCTCCCAAGATTCGGTGGTCACAGAATGCCAGGCTGGGAGGCATTGCCCTGGAAGACCCAGCACAGCCATGCCAGTGGGTTGTGCCGAGGGCAGGAAGGAAGGGGGGGGGGTGTGCTGTTGGAACGATCCACTGAGGGAGGGGAGGGTGCCAGTCGCAGGTACTAATGGTGGATTAAGGTCAGGAGCCACAGGGTGGTGACTCATAGGAGCTAACACAGTCCAGGATTCACCCCCACCTTCTTTCCCCCTAAGACTGCAATAGATGGAAGGGGGCGGGGCAGGAAGTCCTTAGGAACTTTACAATGGTCTGTGCCAATCAAGAGGTAGGGGGTGTTCTGTGCAAAGAATGAACGTCCTAGGGGGAGGGTCCACTCAGGTGAGTGAAGGTGCGGGTGACAGAATGACAGGTCGGCTAAATCCAGGTGCAGAATCCAATTTCGTTTTGCCAGAAGGCGGACGTCCTGTTTTCCTACCTAGCGGTAGGGAGGTGGGATCTGATAAAAGATGCTGTCTTTCCAAAGTGCTCAACCAATGCGCTGGCTGGGGCGGGGTAAGGGCGGGGTCCTTGTTGGAACGTTCCACCTGCAGGAGAGAGGAGTCCCAGTAGAAGGTACCATTAGGGCAGGCTAGTAGGGGAGGTTGGATCAGCTCCAGTCCAGGATCTCTCCAGCGCCCTCAAAGGACTGGGTGGTGTCAGCTGCGCCAGTCCGGGTTGTGACAGTGCGGAGAAGAGGCCAATTCGGAGACTGCAGTCCAGGCAGCGGTCACCACCAAGACCAGGGCCCCGAGGCCTCCTATTCCTCCGACTCTGGCTCAGCCGGGGAGGCAGGCGGCAGGTCCTGGAGGCAGAGCACGGCTCGCACCTCTTGTAGCTGAGCGCGCAGCTCCTCCAGGGCGAGCTGCGTCGGAGCCGCGTGCACCTGCGCCTGCAGCTCCTCGAGCGCCAGCCCCAAGTGGCCCACCTCGCCTCGCAGCTCCTCCCTGGCAACGCGTCGCTCCTTTTCCTTGCGGCGATGCTGCAACTGGTGGCGCCAGTACTCCAGCATCAGGCAGCTGCAGGCGGTCATGAAGATGATGCCTTCGCCCAGCAGCTCCGCGCCCAGCTCGGCGGCTGCCCCTTCGTTGAGCGGCTTGACCGCAGCGGCACTGAAGCCCATGATGCGCATTTTGGTCCGCATCTCCACCCAGTGGTACACTGCGGGGAAAGAGAGGAGTCAGGAATCTTTTGCAGGGCAGCCCCCTGCAAGCCCCGACCCTCTGTGCCTGGATGTCCCCGTTGTGGCAACGGGGATGTGGTCACCACAATCTCCCGGGTGCTGGAGGGGGCGCCGTAAGGAAGACAAGCGCGGGCCTCACACCCGGAATCCTGTAGGGAAAACTTCCTTAACTTACTCATGTGAAGTTGGAATGTCAGCTTTGGCATTGTTGTAAACAGCATCACAGAAGATGCTGATGCTTTTTTTTCCTTTGAAACAGGGTGTTGCTCTGTCGTCCAGGCTGTAGTGCAGTGGTTCGATCTCGGCTCACTACAGCCTCTGCCTCCCATATTCAAGCCATTCTGGTACCTTAGCCTCCAAGTAGCTTGGATCAATGGTGTGTGCCACCATGTCAGCTTTTTTTTTTTTTTTTT